GAGGGACACTGGCAGGGGCTGCGGGTCGGGAGTGAGGGGCACTGCAGGGCTTGGGGGGAGGGGCACTGGCAGGTCGGCACAGATGTTTGGCACTGCAGCGGTTAAGGCAGCTGGGGGCGGGAACAGGGCCCAGCCAATCGCTGCACTGCCTTGGCCCGGCCTGGGGCGTGGAGGCGGCTGGGGGTGCCAGGCCCAGCCATGGGGCCCGAGGACCGTGCTGCGCTGCTACACGTGTCCGGGGCCGGCGCTCTGTGCCTGGCCGTGGTGGCCGCGGGCGCCCTGGACCGGGTGGCCGTGGAGGTGGGGTATGGCTACTACGCGGAGCCCCCCGTCCCCTGGCTGCCCCCCGCCCTGGCCATGCCCTGCAACTCGCTGGTGAACCTGGGCTACACGGCGCTGGGCTGGCGCTGGTTTCCCCGGGCTGGCCATGGGCCCCGCCGCTACCTGCAGGCCGTCTTCGCCCTGATGGCCCTGGCCTACGGCCCAGTGCAGTGGGCCCGGCTCTGGACCCAGCACCCCCGGGCAGCCGTGCTGGACCAGTGGGTCACCCTGCCCATCTTCGCCTGGGCCGGGCTCTGGTGCCACTGCCTGGTGCAGGGCTGGCAGCCCGGCCGCGTGGCGCTGGCCACGGGGGCCTCCCTGCTGAGCTACGGGCTGGCGCTGGCTCACGCCCGCGGCTTCGAGGGGGCCCTGGCTGCACATGTGGCCGGCGTGGCGGGCGCGGCGTGGCGGGCGCAGCGGCGCCGGGGGGACGCGGGCTCGGCCTGGACCGCGGCAGCCGGTTTCGCCGCCTGCCTGGGCTTCGCGCTGCTGAAGCTGGGAGACGCCTGGCTGGCCCAGTGGGCCCCGTTCCGGAGACTCAGCGGCCACTTCTGGTCCAAGGTGTGCGACGTGCTGCAGTTCCACTGCGCCTTCCTCTTCGCCACGCGCCTGGGGGGGGGCCACCCCGCGCCCTGAGCCCCCCCTGCCCACCCGCCCCTCGCCCGGGCCAGGCCAGCGCCCCCCGCCCTCCCTCCAAGCAGAATAAAGAGATTGACATGGACGATTTCCGCCCGTGCGTTACTGCAGGGGACGCTGTGCTGGGGGGCACGGGGAGCGGGTCCTGGCGCTGCTCTTCCCGGGCAGTTAGGCTGGGGTGCTGGGGGGTGGGGGGTGGGGGCTGACTAGACAGGCTGCATCCCAGCAGCGGATGAGGGGTCCCCCCACCCGCCAGGCAGCCCCATCTTCCCCCAGAGACACTAAGGCCCAGATTAAAAATATATAAAATATTTTATTTTTCCCATTGACGGTTCTGGGACCCCACCCCCAGGAAACCAGCCGTGGGGCTCCGGCAAACACGAACCTTCACAGCTGGAAGCTGGGGGGTCTGTGTGTCCCGGACGCCTGAGTCCCATGCAGCAAGGGGGTTCCGTGTGCAGGGGAGCAGGCACCGAGGTGCCACCCCCCTTTCAGTTCAAAGGCCCCTTCCCAGACGCCTGGGTCCCATGTCCATTGCGGGGGCTGGGGGGAGGAGAGCAGGTACCATGTCTCCCCCTCCATTCAAAGTCGCCTCCCCGGACGCCTGGGTCCCGGGCTCGAGGGTGGGTTCTAGCAGCCAGGAGGTGCGTTTTGGGGTGGGGCTCGCCCCCCCACCGATGAGAACTTCGTCCTTCCATGTCCGTCCGTCCAGCTCAGGGCTCGAAATCGTCGCTCTCCTCGGGCAGGCGGGGGGCCGACCCTGCGGGGGAGGGGAGAGGGGTCAGAGCTGGGGGGGGCAGGGCCCCCCGGCACTGAAAGGAGCTGGAGGGGGGAGCTTTACCCCCCCCAGCCCAGCCCCGCAGGGGGGGTTACCTGCTGGGAGCTCGGAGGCCAGCACCCCCAGGCTGTCCAGCGCCCCCTGCTGGTACAGTGCCAGCCGCTCCATGATGCGCTGCCGGGCCGGGTTGATGTGAATCGGGGGGTGTAGGGACGGGGCGACGCCTGCAGAGAGAGCAGAGGTCACCGGACCGAGGGGTCAGAGGTCACAGCGGGCAAAGGGCCATGTCACCCAGGCCAGACCCCAGCAGGAACAAACATCGGGGGGGGGGAAGATATCCGTGTGTGCCAGGAACACCGTGCCTCAGTTTCCCCATGTGCTGCTGCGTGTGTAACGAGGGGGTGGGAGGGGCGTTCGTTACTGCAGGGGACCAGGTGCGACCTTGCCTGGCAGCCGGGACCCCAGATACCAGCCTGGGAACGGGGGACCCAGCGACTGGTGCCCAGGAGGCCCCCCCAGCTCGGGTGCAGCCGGTTCTGGCCAGTGGGGGAAAGGGGCTGAGGGGCCCGGTTCCGGAGGGTGGGAGGGGGCAGGTGGCTTGTTTACCTGGGGCTGGGGACAGAAGGCGGCCAGGCGAGGGGATATGGGGGCTCGGCTGGAAGGTGGGGGCTGGCTGGGGACCAGGACAGGCCCAGCCGGCCAGGGCTGAGATGGGCCAAGCCCGGGGCCCTGAGGGCCGCCCGGGCAGGGGTCAGACACCCCCTCGCTCCCTCCCGCACCGAGCTGGGGCCGAGGATGAGGGGTGCGGGGAGTGGGGGCTCCGGACTAGGGAAGGGGATTGGGGGGAGGCCTCCGGCTGGGGCAGGCGTTTGGGGTGCGGGAGGTGTGTGAAGGAGGTTCTGGCTGGGGCCCCGAGGCGCTTGGCAGCCAGGCGGCTCTGTGCTGCCCTCGTGCCCACAGGCGCCGCCCCCACAGCTCTCACTGGTCGCGGTTCCTGGCCAATGGGAGCTGTGGAGCCGGCGCGGGTGTGGGGGCAGCACACGGAGCCAGGGCAGGCAGGGAGCTGCCAACCAGAGCTGTGGGGGCCCCGGAGACCAGAGGAGGGGACGCCCCGAGGGGCCCACGGCAGAGCCAGGCTGCTGGGGGCTCAGGGCTGTGGTCCCGGGAGGTGGGGGGGCCCAGAGAGACCAGACCCCCAGTCCCCCAAAGGCCCTATGGAGCCGAGAGCCAGTGGCAGGGAGCAAAGGTCAGGGCGAGTGGGGGTCAAAGGGCACTCTGGGGAGGACAATGGGGTCAGAAGTCACCCCACAAGGACAGGACTCACCCAACCAGCTGCCCCCGTCCTCCGACAGGCTCTCATCGCTCTCCACGGGCTGGTTGGGGGGCAGCCCTGGGGCCCTGGGGAGCGAGTCCCCCCAGGGGGTCGAGGGGGGATCCCAGGGCAGAGACTTCTGCAGCCGCTCTAGGTCCTCGTACACCTGGACGGAGAGGCAGAGCCAGGGGACCCTCAGAGCCGGGGAGAGAACCCAGGAGTCCTGGCTCCCAGCCCCCGCAGCTCTCACCCACCAGCCTCCACTCCCCTCCCAGAGCCGGGGAGAGAACCCAGGAGTCCTGGCTCCCAGCCCCCGCAGCTCTCACCCACCAGCCTCCACTCCCCTCCCAGAGCCGGGGAGAGAACCCAGGAGTCCGGTACCTGGGCCATGGGCGGGCGCCGTTTGCTGCGTTTCTGGAGGCAGCGGGTCGCCAGGCAGCCCAGCGCCGTGCCCAGCTCCTCCGGACAGGGCCCGACCCGCGAGTCCACGTGGTTCCGGAAGATCCTGGTGCCGACCCGAGTCGCCCGAGCGTCCTGGTCCAGGCCAGAGCCCGTCACCGCCAGCTGCGCTCGCCCGGGACCCTCGCCGCCCTCAGCCGCCTCCTCCTCCTCCGCGACCAGATCCTTCTGCAGGGACGGGGGAGTGAGGGGCACCGTCCGGGCTTGGGGGGGCAGGGCTGGGCTAGCAGGGGCTGTGGGTCGGGAGTGAGGGCCGCCGGCAGGGCTGGGGGGCAGGGGCTAGGGGTTGGGAGTGAGGGCCGCCGGCAGGGCTGGGGGGCAGGGGCTAGGGGTTGGGAGTGTGGGGCGTCGGCAGGGCTGGGGGGCAGGAGTGAGGGGCACTGGCGAGCGCTGGGGGTTGGGAGTGAGGGGCGTCGGCAGGGCTGGGGGTCGGGAGTGAGGGCTGCCGGCAGGGCTGGGGGGTGGTGGCTTGGGGTTGGGAGTGAGGGGCGTCGGCAGGGCTGGGGGGTGGGAGTGTGGGGCGTCGGCAGGGCTGGGGGGCGGGAGTGAGGGGCGCCGG